GGGCTGAGGGGGAGCTGCCCTCCCATTGGGGTGCCAGGACAGAGAAGAGCTTGGACTGGGCTGAGGGGGAGCTGCCCTCCCATTGGGGTGCCAGGACAGAGAAGAGCTTGGACTGGGCTGAGCGGGAGCTGCCCTCCCATTGGGGTGCCAGGACAGGGAAGAGCTTGGACTGGGCTGAGGGGGAGCTGCCCTCCCATAGGGGTAGGAGGGCCAAGAGACTGGAGGTTGCGGAACGGAGTGCTCGGGTCGGGATGTATGGTTTGAACATAGCCTGAAGGTAAGGAGGTGCAGTTCCCCTTGCTGCTCCATAGGCAAGCACCAGGGTCTTGAAGATGACGCCAGCTTCGACTGGAAGTCGGTGGAGTTTGCGGAGGAGGGGGGGTGACATGGGAGAATTTAGGAAGGTTGAACACAAGGAGGGCTGCAGCATTAAGGTTACCAAGGTGACCTTAAAGGGGCAGCTGAACATTTGTCTCATCTGTGATGTTCTGGTTAAAAGACTCGGGTCATAGTAAACATTGTACCACATTTACTTCTTACTAGTAATACATTTCATGTTTTAGAAACATTACTAAGCATGCTCATCAGTTTTTGTGTGTGTTGTGTAATTATTGACGAAAAACATATTTGGCCTGGTAAATAATCTGCGTGGCAGGTAAATCTTTTAAATCTGGTTAGTTACGCCCTGATCATATTGTGCAACAGCTGATGAAACTAACAGTGTGAAAAAATGTAATCAGTACCAAATAGAGCTTGTTCTGCAAAAACATCTTAACCCGGGGGGGAAGCCATGGGGGGGAAGCCATGGGGGGGAAGCCATGGCTACTCCGTGGAAAACACTGCCAATATTAGCATTTCTCATGCATACTGTTCAAATCATCTTGAAGTGACTTTGTTCAGCTTCAAAATCAATTTGAGATACTTTCGGATGCTTTTAAGTGGCCTTTTATTGTCCCCAGCACAAGGTGCACCTGTGTAATGATCATGCTGTTTAATCAGCTTCTTGATATGCCACACCTGTCAGGTGGATGGATTATCTTGGCAAAGGAGAAATGCTCACTAACAGGGATGTGAACAAAATTGGAGAGAAATAAGCTTTTTGTGCATATGGAACATTTCTGAGATTTTCTTTTCAGCTCATGAAACATGGGACCAACACGTTACTTTGCGTTTATATTTTTGTTCAGTGTAGCTACCTACCCCCTCTACCTACCCCCTCTACCTACCCCTCTACCCACCCCTCTACCCACCCCTCTACCTACCCCCTCTACCTACCCCCTCTACCCACCCCTCTACCCACCCCTCTACCCACCCCTCTACCTACCCCTCTACCCCCCCCTCTACCCCCTACCCACCCCTCTACCCCCCTCTACCCACCCCCTCTACCTACCCCCTCTACCCACCCCTCTACCCCCACCACCCCTCTACACCCCTACCCCCTCTACCCCCCCCTCTAACCCACCCCCTCTACCCACCCCCCTCACCCTCTACCCACCCTACTCCCCTCTACCCACCCCCTCTACCCACCCACCCCCTCTACCCCCCCTCTAACCCACCCCTCTACCCACCCACCCTACCTACCCCCTACCCCCCCCTCACCCACCCCCTCTACCCACCTCCCCTCTACCCCCTCCCACCCACCCTCTACCCCACCCTCTACCTACCCCCTCTACCCACCCCTCTCTACCCCTCACCCCTCTACCCCCCTCCTTACCCACCCCTCTACCCACCCCTCTACCTACCCCCTCTACCACCCCTCTACCCACCCCTCTACTACCCCCCTCTACCCACCCCTCTACCCCCCCTCTACCCCCCCCCTCTACCTACCCCTCTACCTACCCCTCTACCCACCCTCTACCTACCCCCTCTACCCACCCCTCTACCTACCCCCTCTCCACCCCCCCTCTACCACCCCTCTACACCCCTCTACCCACCCCTCTACCCCCCCTCTACCCTACCTACCCCCTCTACCTACCCCCTCTCACCTACCCCCTCTACCCCTCCCTACCCTTACCCACCCCTCTACCACCCCCTCTAACCACCCCTCTCTACCCTCACCCACCCCTCTACCCACCCCCTCTACACCCCCCTCTACCCACCCCTCTACCCACCCCTCTACCCACCCCTCTACCACCCCCTCTACCTCCCCCTCTACCCACCCCTCTACCTACCTCACCCCCTCTACCCCCCCTCTACCCCCCTCTACTACCCCCCCTCTACCACCCCCTCTACCCACCCCTCTAACCCACCCCTCTACCACCCTCTACCACCCCTCTACCCCTACCCCCTCTACCCACACCCCCTCTACCTACCCCCTCTACCCCCCTCTACACCCCCCCTACTCCCCCCCTCTACCCACCCCCTCTCCACCCCTCTACCCTACCCCCCCTACCCCCTCACCCCCCCTACCCCTACCCCTCTACCTACCCCCTCTAACCCCCCTCTACCTCCACACCCCTCACCACCCCTCACCTACCCCTCTACCCACCCTTACCCCTCTAACCCACCCCCTCTACCTACCCCCCTCTACCCACCCCTCTACCTACCCCCTCTGCCTACCCCCTCTACCTACCCCCTCTACCACCCCTCTACCTACCCCCCCTCTACCCACCCCCTCTACCCACCCCCCCTCTACACCCCCCTCCTACCCCCTACCTACCCCTCACCCCCCTCTCCACCCACCCCTCTACCCTCTACCCCCTCTACCTACCCTTACCCACCCCTCTACCTACCCACCTCTACCTACCCCCCCCCTCTACCCACCCCTCTACCCACCCCTCCTACCCCCTCTACCCCCCCCTCTACCCACCCCCCCCTCTACCCACCCCTACTACCCCACCCCCTCTATCCACCTCCCCTCTACCACCCCTCTCCTACCCCCTCTACCCACCCCTCTACCTACCCCCCTCTACCCACCCCTCTACCCACCCCTCTACCACCACCCCTCTACCCCCCCTCTACCCACCCCTCTACCTACCCCCCTCTACCCCCCCTCTACCTACCCCCTCTACCCACCCCCTACCTACCCCTCTACCCACCCCCTACCTACCCCTCTACCCACCCCTCTACCCACCCCCTCTACCCCCCACCCCCTCTACCTACCCCTCACCCACCTCTACCCACCCCTCTACCCCCCACCCCTCTACCTACCCCCCTACCCCCCTACCTACCCTCTACCCCCCCTCTACCACCCCTCTCTACCACCCCTCCCTCCCCCTCACCCCCCCTCTACCCCACCCCTCTACCCACCCCTCTACCCCCCCCTCTACCCACCCCTCTACCTACCCCCCTCTACCACCCCTCTACCCCCTCCCCTAACCCCACCCCTCTACCCCCCCCTCTACCCTACCCCCTCTACCCCCCTCTACCTACCCCCTCTACCTCACCCTCTACCCACCCCTCTACCTACCCCTCTACCCCACCCTCTACCCACCCCTCTACCACCCCCTCTACCACCCCTCTACCACCCCCTCTACCCACCCCCTCTACCCCCCTCTACCCACCCCCTCTACCCCCCCTCTACCACCCCTCTACCCACCCCTCTACCTACCCCCTCTACCCACCCCCTCTACCTACCCCCTCTACCCACCCCTCTACCTACCCCCCTCACCCACCCCTCTACCTACCCCACCACCCCTCTACCACCCCTCTACCCACCCCTCTACCACCCCCTCTACCCACCCCTCTACCCACCCCCTCTACCTACACCTATCCCATCCTCACAAGCTCTGGTCTGATGCAACCGTTTTTACCTCCGTCGACTCTAAACTGGAGCAGACTGAGAGACCCTTGACCTCTGGCCTGATAAAGCAGTCAGCCGGTCAGAGTGAGGACTGTAACGGTGGTATTAAAACGCTTCCTGGTTCCTTTTTTTATGGCCCAGTTGACTCATAGCAGCATTCCAGCCAAGGTTAATGTTTGATTGGGGAGGGAGGGATGGAGAGCCAAAGACGGTCATTCTCTGAAGAGCTATCCTTCTATCATCTCTTCTTCCTCCTATCCTCTCCTCCTATCCTCTCCGTAGTCCGCTACTATCTCTGACACTGGACTGGGGGATGAAGGGGGAGGACACTGGGGAGGGATGAAGGGATGCTGAGCCAAAATCATTCTCTAAAGACCTGTCCTCCTCTGTTCACTCCCTAATGTACTCCTGAGTGGCGCAGTGGTCTAAGGCACTGCATCGCAGTGCTTACTGTGCCACTAGAGATCCTGGTTCAAATCCAGGCTCTGTCGCAGCCGGCCGCGACCGGGAGACTCATGGGCGGCACACAATTGGCACAGCGTCGTCCAGGGTAGGGGAGGGAATGGCCGGCAGGGATGTAGCTCAGTTGATAGAGCATGGCATTTGCAACGCCAGGGTTGTGTGTTCGATTCCCACGGGGGGCCAGTATAAAAAAAAAATATGTAATCACTAACTGTAAGTCGCTCTGGATAAGAGCGTCTGCTAAATGACTAAAATGTAAAAAAAAAATGTAATGCTCTTCCTCTGTCCTCTCCTCCCAGTGGCCTGTTTCAGCCACATCAGAATATAGCTAGGCTATCAGGAATACCAAGGCATTTAGCACTTCTCAACATGGCATCCTGAATGTAGATTCAGATTCTCTGTCTGTCTGTGGACTTCAGCTCTGTGTGTGTTTCTCAGAGGAGTTTGGAATAATCAGAAGACTCATTTCAGTTTCCCTGCAACAATGGACAATAAAGTAATCATCTTTCTCTTCATGAATCTGATTATTGTGTGGGATCATTTCTCCTGTCCAATGTGGACTTCTTCAACTTCATAGATAAATCATTAGTCCAGTCCTGAATCCTTCGGGCCTCTGAAGATGTGCTGTGTGTGTTTCTAGAGAGGGCTGATATAGAGATTTTTGAGGATGATGGGTGGATGTGAAATGAAGCTCAGGTTATTTAAATCCGCCAGATTGAAGCAGAGCAGTCATGACTCATCAACGCTTTCCAAGGGAATTAATTCTAATTTCTTCTTGATTGTGTTGCTGTCCCAGTTTCTGTGGTGCCTACTATCTGCAGCATGGACTGAGACAGGAGAGAGTGAGTTATGGGCCCCACGAGTTATGGGCCCCCCGAGTTATGGGCCCCCCGAGTTCTACCTGCCTGGCTGTAAGATGCTGTGAGATGTTTAGACTAAACAGGGCAGGGAGACTAGAAGGGTGTTGGTGTTGGTCTGTTTAGCCCCATATAGGGTTGGTGTTAGCCCATATAGGTAGATATATTTGGTGTTGGTCGTTGACCCCAATAGGTAGATATATTTGGTGTTGGTCTGTTTAGCCCCATATAGATAGATATATGGGTAGTAAGTAGGTAGAAACAATGTGTACCTCTGTGACTCCCACAACACCCTATATAAGAAAACACAGACCCATACAATATAGACTATAGCTACACACCCCATTAAACACACCAATCCCTGTGAACCCAGCTCCACACCCCATTAAACACACCAATCCCTGTGAACCCAGCTCCACACCCCATTAAACACACCAATCCCTGTGAACCTAGCTCCCACACCCATTTAAACCACACCAATCCCTGTGAACCCAGCTCCACACCCCATTAAACACACCAATCCCTGTGAACCCAGCTCCACACCCCATTAAAAACACATCCTGGAACCTAGCTCCAACCCATTAACCACACCAATCCCTGTGAACCTAGCTCCACCCCCCATTAAACACACCAATCCCTGTGAACCCAGCTCCACCCCCCATTAAACACACCAATCCCTGTGAACCCAGCTCCACCCCCCATTAAACACACCAATCCCTGTGAACCAGTGGACTTTCAAGTAAAAGTAAGGAGGTGTTATTCCCCTACATTCTATTCCCCCTACATTCTAGTCCCCCTACATTCTATTCCCCTACATTCTATTCCCCTACATTCTATTCCCCTACATTCTAGTCCCCTACATTCTAGTCCCCTACATTCTAGTCCCCTACATTATATTCCCCCTACATTCTAGTCCCCCTACATTCTAGTCCCCTACATTCTATTCCCCTACATTCTAGTCCCCTATATTATATTCCCCTACATTCTATTCCCCTACATTCTAGTCCCCTACATTCTATTCCCCTACATTCTATTCCCCTACATTCTAGTCCCCTACATTCTATTCCCCCTACATTCTAGTCCCCCTACATTCTAGTCCCCTACATTCTAGTCCCCTACATTCTATTACCCCTACAGTTCTAGTCCCCTACATTCTAGTCCCCTACATTCTTATCCCCACATTATATTCCCCTACATTCTATTCCCCTACATTGCTATTCCCCTACATTCTATTCCCCTCATTCTATTCCCCTACATTCATTGCCTCTGTAGCCCCTACATCATCCCCTACATCTATCTACCCCCATTAACCCCAATCTGTCCCTAACCATTAGCTCCACACCCCATTTACACCCACATCCTTTCCCCACATCCTAGTCCCTACTTCTAGTCACCCCATTATACACACCAATCCCTGTAACACCAGTCTACACATTCCCCTACATTAAACCCCACAATCCCTAACAGCTCCACACTCCCCCATTCTACCCCACATTCTATCCCTTAACAGTACTTCATTCCAGAAAGATTCTATCCCCTACATTCAAATCCCCTACATTCTAGTCCCCTACATTCTTCCCCTACATTCTAGTCCCCCTACATTCTATTCCCCCCTTTTCCCTACAAGTCTATTTTCCCCTACATTCTCTTCCCCTACATTCTCTTCCCCTACAATCATTCCCCTACATTCTATTCCCCTACATTCTATTCCCCTACATTCTATTCCCCTACATTCTATTCCCCTACATCTATTCCCCTACATTCTCGTCCCCTACATTCTATTCCCCTACATTCATTCCCCTACATTCTATTCCCCCTACATTCTATTCCCCCTACATTCTCTCCCCCTATATTCTATTCCCCCTACATTCTAGTTCCCCTACATTCTATTCCCCTACATTCTAGTCCCCCTACATTCTAGTCCCCTACATTCTATTCCCCTACATTCTATTCCCCCTACATTCTATTCCCCTACATTCTATTCCCCTACATTCTATTCCCCTACATTGTATTATCCTACATTATATTCCCCTATATTCTAGTCCCCCTACATTCTAGTCCCCCTACATTCTATTCCCCTACATTCTATTCCCCTACATTCTAGTCCCCCTACATTCTAGTCCCCCTACATTCTAGTCCCCCTACATTCTATTCCCCCTACATTCTATTCCCCCTACATTCTAGTTCCCCTACATTCTAGTTCCCCTACATTCTAGTTCCCCTACATTCTAGTCCCCCTACATTCTATTCCCCCTACATTCTAGTTCCCCTACATTCTAGTCCCCTACATTCTATTCCCCTAATTCTATCCCCCTACATTCTAGTTCCCCTACATTCTAGTCCCCTAATTCTATTTCCCCTACATTCTATTCCCCCTACATTCTATTCCCCCTACATTCTGTCCCCTACATTCTAGTTCCCCTACATTCTAGTTCCCCCTAATTCTATTTCCCCCTACATTCTATCCCCCTAATTCTATCCCCCTACATTCTAGTTCCCCTACATTCTAGTCCCCCTAATTCTAGTCCCCCTTTAATTCTAGTCCCCTAATTCTAGTTCCCCTAATTCTAGTCCCCCTATATTCTAGTCCCCCTACATTCTAGTTCCCCTACATTCTAGTTCCCCTACATTCTAGTCCCCCTACATTCTAGTCCCCCTACATATAGTCCCCTTACATTCTATTCCCCTACATTGTGCTGTGGAGAAGATAATTTCTCCCAAGAAAAGACAAATGACTTTAGCCTATCTGGATTCTAAACTAGATTATCTTGGACTCAGAAAAACAGCCAAATGAATGCAGGTAATTGACATACAAATGATGCTGCTTAAATAGTTTGTCAGCTGAATGTATGGGTGTTGATAGTGATGTTGTTTAGCCTTCATGCAGGGGCAGGGACAAGGACAGGAGAATGTATTGGTGATCATAGTGTTGTAGGCTTGGGCGGTATCCAGATTGTCATACCTTCATACCAACTTTGTGCCATACCGGGATATTCGGTAATACCGGCACTGAACACAAGGGGTGCTGTATTTAAATGTTTTTAATGTTTTTAAACCCCGCTGATACTCTGTAATCCGAAGGTTAGCAATGCTGACAAGTACATGTAAAATCCCATAGAGAATGCTAACTAAATGCTAACGAGTGCATTGCGAACATTTTATACAGTTTCTGACCTAAAGTATACAATTATACAAGTAACTCAAAAATGTTACTCCCAGTTTGCTGCACGCACAAAACAAATATTAGCAAGCAAGGCTCTTGATCCAGGAGAGGATTCTCTGCTGTTACCAAGCGAATGCTTGATTTTGGAAGAAGCGAACCACTTAGCTAGATAGCTAACTAGCCACTAAATTAGCAAACCAAATGCACAACTGCCGAGCATTTAGCACATTTTAGACAGTTAACTTAATAGTTATAAGATATCTAGCTGGCAAACATTTAGTTGTGAATTCCATCCTGTGATTAGATCACCTGTGCATGCTGCTCAACAGTGGAGTGACTCACAAGGCTCCGGTCTCATCGTTGAGTGCTTGTAAATAAACACCATGTGACTGGGGACTAAATCAAATCAAGCTTTATTTATACAGCACATTTCAGACATGGAATGCAACACAATGTGCTTTACAGAAGAAGAAAAAAACTAATAAAAAACAATAAATAAAAGCTGAAATATTTACTACACTACAAACAAATAATTACTCAAACTGAACAACCAAAAAGCCTCCTGAGGAAAAGCAAAGCTAAAAATATGTTTTAAGATCTCTTTAAAAATGTCAGCCCCCCTCAGGTTCTCTGGCAGACTATTCCAGAGGCTGGGGGCATAGTAACTAAAGGCTGCCTCTCCATGCCTCTTGGTCCTGGGCTTTGGGGTAGTTAAAAGGCCAGTGCCAGAGGACCTGAGGCACCTACTGGGTACATAACTTAAAAGCATGTCTGACATGTATTGAGGTGCACAATCGTGGATTGAATGGAAGAATCTTAAAATTAATTCTAAAACTCACAGGCAGCCAGTGCAGAGACCTTAAAACCGGTGTAATGTGTGCTCTCTGTCTGGACTTGGTCAGTACCCGTGCTGCAGCATTCTGGGTGTTTTTGCAGACCAGACAGGAGAGCATTACAGTAGCCTGCTTGTAATCAAAGCATGGATGAGTCTCTCTGTATCAGCCTGAGGGAGTCTCTCTGTATCAGCCTGAGAGAGTCTCTCTGTATCAGCCTGAGGGAGTCTCTCTGTATCAGCCTGAGAGAGTCTCTCTGTATCAGCCTGAGGGAGTCTCTCTGTATCAGCCTGAGGGAGTCTCTCTGTATCAGCCTGAGGGAGTCTCTCTGTATCAGCCTGAGAGAGAAACGGCTGCACCTTGGCAATGTTCCTCAGGTGGTAAAAAGCTGTTTTGGTCACATTCCTGATGTGTGATTCGAAATGGAGTTCAGAATCTAAAATAACACCTGGGTTTTTACCTGGTGTTTTATCTCTATTGCCTGTGAATTAAAATGTGCGTCCAGATTCTCTCTCTGTGCTTTGGCTCCAACAATAAGTACCTCGGTCTTGTCTTGATTTAGCTGGAGGAAGTTGTGAGCCATCCAAGTATTTAAATCACTAATACGGTCTAATAATTTATCCGTGAAGCTAAAATCCTACGGTGACACACAAATTAAAGTTGTGTATCGTCTGCGTAGCAGTGAAAATCAATGCCGTGCTTTCTGATAACGCTGCCAAGAGGTAACATATATAAACTGTACCGTACCGGACCCAAAATCGAACCTTGTGGAACACCACATGGGATATGTATTTTCTCTGAGTTATGTTCACCAAGGGTGACAAAAACTCTCGACCGGTTAAAAAGGTCCTAAACCAATTTAGAACTGGACCGGAGAGGCCAACCACCTCTCCAGTCTGTCCAGAAGGACATCATGGTCAACAGAGGCCAACCCACCTCTCCAGTCTGTCCAGAAGGACATCATGGTCAACAGAGGTCAACCCACCTCTCCAGTCTGTCCAGAAGGACATCATGGTCAACAGAGGACAACCCACCTCTCCAGAAGGACATCATGGTCAACAGAGGCCAACCACCTCTCCAGTCTGTCCAGAAGGACATCATGGTCAACAGAGGCCAACCCACCTCTCCAGTCTGTCCAGAAGGACATCATGGTCAACAGAGGCCAACCACCTCTCCAGTCTGTCCAGAAGGACATCATGGTCAACAGAGGCCAACCACCTCTCCAGTCTGTCCAGAAGGACATCATGGTCAACAGAGGCCAACCACCTCTCCAGTCTGTCCAGAAGGACATCATGGTCAACAGAGGCCAACCACCTCTCCAGTCTGTCCAGAAGGACATCATGGTCAACAGAGGCCAACCACCTCTCCAGTCTGTCCAGAAGGACATCATGGTCAACAGAGGTCAACCACCTCTCCAGTCTGTCCAGAAGGACATCATGGTCAACAGTGTCGAATGCAGCATTTAAATCTAAGAGTACAAGGACAGAGAGCTGTTTGGCATCTGTGTTTGGCTTTAAGAACATTTAACACTTTAAAGCTGTGTCTGTGCTGTGGTGGGCACGAAAACCAGATTGGATTATTTTTTTTAAAAATACAGTTTAAACTTAAAAAATCATTTAGCTGTTTGAATACCAATTTCTCCAGAAGTTTGCTTAAGAATGGAAGGTTGGAGATTGGCCGAAAATGGCTAAAAGCTGAAGGGGTTTCACTATAGATGACTTTTCTCCAGAAGGGGTTTCACTATAGATGACTTTTCTCCAGAAGGGGTTTCACTATAGATGACTTTTCTTCAGAAGGGGTTTCACTATAGATGACTTTTCTCCAGAAGGGGTTTCACCATAGAGGACTTTTCTCCAGAAGGGGTTTCACCATAGATGACTTTTCTCCAGAAGGGGTTTCACTATAGATGACTTTTCTCCAGAAGGGGTTTCACCATAGATGACTTTTCTCCAGAAGGGGTTTCACCATAGATGACTTTTCTCCAGAAGGGGTTTCACCATAGATGACTTTTCTCCAGAAGGGGTTTCACTATAGATGACTTTTCTTCAGAAGGGGTTTCACTATAGATGACTTTTCTTCAGAAGGGGTTTCACCATAGATGACTTTTCTCCAGAAGGGGTTTCACCATAGATGACTTTTCTCCAGAAGGGGTTTCACTATAGATTACTTTTCTTCAGAAGGGGTTTCACCATAGCAGTGTTTAGTGCAGTGGGGAAAGTGCCTGTAAACAGGGAGTGATTAACAATAGCTTGCACTTCTTCAGATACGCAATTAAAAACTGCTTCGAAGAAGGTGGTGGGGATAGGATCAAGAGAAGGCAGGTAGAAGGCTTAAGTTGTGATATCACTTTCCTGAGCGTGTCTGTGTCAACCAGGGAAAATAAATCCATAGTTCCTTTGCGTGGTAGGCTAGGGCACATATCATCACACTTCTCATCAGGCCTTGCTTGACTCATACCCAGCCTAATGTTGGTTATCTTATCTCTGAAATATGCCGCAAACTCATCATATTTACAGTGGGGGGAAAAAGTATTTAGTCAGCCACCAATTGTGCAAGTTCTCCCACTTAAAAAGATGAGAGAGGCCTGTAATTTTCATCATAGGTACACGTCAACTATGACAGACAAAATGAGAAAAAAAATCCAGAAAATCACATTGTAGGATTTTTTTTACATTTATTTGCAAATTATGGTGGAAAATAAGTATTTGGTCAATAACAAAAGTTTCTCAATACTTTGTTATATACCCTTTGTTGGCAATGACACAGGTCAAACGTTTTCTGTAAGTCTTCACAAGGTTTTCACACACTGTTGCTGGTATTTTGGCCCATTCCTCCATGCAGATCTCCTCTAGAGCAGTGATGTTTTGGGGCTGTCGTTGGGCAACACAGACTTTCAACTCCCTCCAAAGATTTTCTATGGGGTTGAGATCTGGAGACTGGCTAGGCCACTCCAGGACCTTGAAATGCTTCTTACGAAGCCACTCCTTCGTTGCCCGGGCGGTGTGTTTGGGATCATTGTCATGCTGAAAGACCCAGCCACGTTTCATCTTCAATGCCCTTGCTGATGGAAGGAGGTTTTCACTCAAAATCTCACGATACATGGCCCCATTCATTCTTTCCTTTACACGGATCAGTCGTCCTTGTCCCTTTGCAGAAAAACAGCCCCAAAGCATGATGTTTCCACCCCCATGCTTCACAGTAGGTATGGTGTTCTTTGGATGCAACTCAGCATTCTTTGTCCTCCAAACACGGTGAGTTGAGTTTTTTAACCAAAAAGTTATATTTTGGTTTCATCTGACCATATGACATTCTCCCAATCCTCTTCTGGATCATCCAAATGCACTCTAGCAAACTTCAGACGGGCCTGGACATGTAGTGGCTTAAGCAGGGGGACACGTCTGGCACTGCAGGATTTGAGTCCCTGGCGGCGTAGTGTGTTACTGATGGTAGGCTTTGTTACTTTGGTCCCAGCTCTCTGCAGGTCATTCACTAGGTCCCCCCGTGTGGTTCTGGGATTTTTGCTCACCGTTCTTGTGATCATTTTGACCCCACGGGGTGAGATCTTGCGTGGAGCCCCAGATCGAGGGAGATTATCAGTGGTCTTGTATGTCTTCCATTTCCTAATACTTGCTCCCACAGTTGATTTCTTCAAACCAAGCTGCTTACCTATTGCAGATTCAGTCTTCCCAGCCTGGTGCAGGTCTACAATTTTGTTTCTGGTGTCCTTTGACAGCTCTTTAGTCTTGGCCATAGTGGAGTTTGGAGTGTGACTGTTTGAGGTTGTGGACAGGTGTCTTTTATACTGATAACAAGTTCAAACAGGTGCCATTAATACAGGTAACGAGTGGAGGACAGAGGAGCCTCTTAAAGAAGAAGTTACAGGTCTGTGAGAGCCAGAAATCTTGCTTGTTTGTAGGTGACCAAATACTTATTTTCCACCATAATTTGCAAATAAATTCATAAAAAATCCTACAATGTGATTTTCTGGAGAAAAAAATTCTCAATTTGTCTGTCATAGTTGACGTGTACCTATGATGAAAATTACAGGCCTCTCTCATCTTTTTAAGTGGGAGAACTTGCACAATTGGTGGCTGACTAAATACTTTTTTTCCCCACTGTAGATGTCGAGGAAAGTTCACATATGTTTGCGGGGGTAGGATTTATCAGGCCATCCAATAGTCGAGAAGAGCACTCTCAAATTATTCTGATTTAATAGTGATGAAGTTAGAAAAATTAGCCCGTCTGGCATTTCTAAATGTCTTGTGATACAGTACCAGTCAAATATTTGGACAAACCTACTCATTCCAGGGTTTTTCTTTATTTTTACTATTTTCTACATTGTAGATTAATAGCGAAGACATCAAAACTATGAAATAACACATACAGTGAGGGAAAAAAGTATTTGATCCCCTGCTGATTTTGTACGTTTGCCCACTGACAAAGACATGATCAGTCTATAATTCTAATGGTAGGTTTATTTGAACAGTGAGAGACAGAATAACAACAAAAAATCCAGAAAAAAGCATGTCAAAAATGTTATAAATTGATTAGCATTTTAATGAGGGAAATAAGTATTTGACCCCTTTGCAAAACATGACTTAGTACTTGGTGGCAAAACCCTTGTTGGCAATCACAGAGGTCAGACCCTTCTTGTAGTTGGCCAAAAGGTTTGCACACATCTCAGGAGGGATTTTGTCCCACTCCTCTTTGCAGATCTTCTCCAAGTCATTAAGGTTTCGAGGCTGACGTTTGGCAACTCGAACCTTCAGCTCCCTCCACAGATTTTCTATGGGATTAAGGTCTGGAGACTGGCTAGGCCACTCCAGGACCTTAATTCTATTTATTTATTTATTTATTTAACCTTTATTTAACCAGGAAGGTTAATGTGCTTCTTCTTGAGCCACTCCTTTGTTGCCTTGGCCGTGTGTTTTGGGTCATTGTCATGCTGGAATACCCATCCACAACCCATTTTCAATGCCCTGGCTGAGGGAAGGAGGTTCTCACCCAAGATTTGACGGTACATGGCCCCGTCCATCGTCCCTTTGATGCGGTGAAGTTGTCCTGTCCCCTTAGCAGAAAAACACCCCCAAAGCATAATGTTTCCACCTCCATGTTTGACGGTGGGGATGGTGTTCTTGGGGTCATAGGCAGCATTCCTCCTCCTCCAAACACGGCGAGTTGAGTTGATGCCAAAGAGCTCGATTTTGGTCTCATCTGACCACAACACTTTCACCCAGTTCTCCTCTGAATCATTCAGATGTTCATTGGCAAACTTCAGACAGCCCTGTATATGTGCTTTCTTGAGCAGGGGGACCTTGCGGGCGCTGCAGGATTTCAGTCCTTCACGGCGTAGTGTGTTACCAATTGTTTACTTGCTGACTATGGTCCCGGCTGCCTTGAGATCATTGACAATATCCTCCCATGTAGTTCTGGGCTGATTCCTCACCGTTCTCATGATCATTGCAACTCCATTGCAACTCCACGAGGTGAGATCTTGCATGGAGCCCCAGGCCGAGGGAGACTGACAGTTATTTTGTGTTTCTTCCATTTGCGAATAATCGCACCAACTGTTGTCACCTTCTCACCAAGCTGCTTGGCGATGGTCTTATAATAATAATAATAATAATAATATAATATGCCATTTAGCAGACGCTTTTATCCAAAGCGACTTACAGTCGTGCGTGCATACATTTTTGTGTATGGGTGGTCCCGGGGATCGAACCCACTACCTTGGCGTTACAAGCGCCGTGCTCTACCAGGTCTTGTAGCCCATTCCTACTAAAGGACACCAATAAGAAGAAGAGACCTGCTTGGGCCAAGAAACACGAGCAATGGACATTAGACCGGTGGAAATTTGTCCTTTTGGTCTGGAGTCCAAATTTGAGATTTTTGGTTCCAACCACTGTTTCTTTGTGTGGGTGAACGGATGATCTTCGCATGTGTATTTCCCACCGTAAAGCATGGAGGGGAAGGTATTATGGTGTGGGGGTGCTTTTTGCTGGTGACACTGTCTGTGATTTATTTATAATTCAAGGCACACTTAACCAGCATGGCTACCACAGCATTCCTGTCGTTGCAATGTTTCTTCAGGTACTCGTTCAGGGCAAAGAGTCGGCTGAAACCTTCCGAACCACTTCGGTAGCACGGGAGGGGGCCAGAGATAATTATTATCTTCCCTGTGCTAGCGAGGGTGTTTTAAAAAAATGTTGTAGTCCTCCCTCAGTTCCTCAGATCGGTGAAAACAAAGGTTTTTAAAACCTACGTGAGTGACGATGGTGTCAATATTGGAGTAGTTGGCCAGAACCGTGGGCAGGAGGAAGTTGGTCGGTCCACAGATCGTAGGCAGGCAAAAATCTCTCACCATCTTACTGCCCACGATGAAAACCTCTCACCATCGAGCTGCCCACGATGAAAACCTCTCACCATCGAGCTGCCCACGATGAAAACCTCTCACCATCGAGCTGCCCACGATGATGGAATCCGATGGGGAAGTGAGCTGCTGAACTGCTGTGGGGGAGGGAGCCACTGGTTTACAGCCAGGATCCGTGCTGACTCATGGGGCTGGTAGGTCCGTCTCAAGCGGGGAAAAGCTGTTTGACAGCTGGATATGATCTTCTCGGATAGATGAAGGGTGGCCAGACTGCCTCCCCGATCTCCTACGCCGCGGAGTTGATCTTAACATCTGTCCGTTGTATTGGGACAGATCAACGTCGCCCGACTCATCGACAGCTTTGCTATAGTAGTCATTTAACACTGAGATTGGGTTTGCCTGGGTTACAGCAAGGTCGGTGTACTTAGAAAGCAGGTTATCCTTTTCTCACAGCCGAGCTAACAGCCGAAGGATCTCTTCCCTGAGCTGCTTGACGGTGGTGCATTTAGGGCAGACAAAGCCCTGTCCATTTTCCAGTTCCACCTTATCTTCTTCATGTGATTGTGTGGAATCATCTCACACCTGAACCGTTTGTGCCCAGCCGAGGATAAAAACGCTGGTGGGCTAGCACTGCTAGTGTTAGCCTGCTCCGTTTTCATGATGGCTAGCAGCTAACTGGCTAGACACAAACGTGCAGTGCCAGCCGTAAAGGCTGAACGCGTCACGTAATCCGTAGCAATACTAACTTTAGCTATGATTTAAAACAATTGAATTAAAACGTTTTTCATAAAACCAACAAACCGAGTATAGACAGTACACTGTTCTGTTGCTTGCTTTGACTACCGTAAGCTTCATAATAATCTGACAGGTGAAATGAAGAACACAATGTTCTTTTATCTCCTAACGTATTGCAGGTATTTACTTAAAAAGTAGCTACAAATATTCAAATGTGTTTAAAAAAGTTCAAATAAATAGTTTCAACGGTATTGACAGTATTGAAAAACCATCCCGTGGCTATTTCCAAATACCCCTATATACGGTATATACACGGCATACCGCCCAAGCCTAGTGTGTTGATAGTGTGTGTATTTGTGATGCGTCTCCCCAGGCCCAGATAGCGTTCCTCCAGGGCGAGAGGAACGGCCAGGAGAACCTGAAGAAGGATCTGGTGAGGAGGATTAAGATGCTGGAGTACGCCCTCAGACAGGACAGGTACGTTACAGCACCTGACATCACACAGCATGTGTACTGTGCATCATCACATGACCCTATGACCTTTCACATTCATTCACCACACTGATATTGACAGAGGGCCTGACAGCCAAAGACGTCTCTACATCACATCTTCAAATGACCATGGAACTTAACACAGCAGAAAATCTACAATGACAGATGACAGGGTGACAAAGAGAGATGACAGGGTGACGAAGAGAGATGACAGGGTGACGAAGAGAGATGTGTGGAAGGATGGATCTGTTCTATATGGTGTCTGATTTAATGATGGCTGACCTTTCCTAGAACGGTTTCTGTCAGTCTTACCTTGGAAGATCGCTCCACTGTGAGGACCAGTCTCTACACCTGTCCTGTCCTTCCACTAAGAGGACCAGAGTCAAATCAAATTCAATTTTATTTGTCACATGTAAACAACAGGTGTAGACTAACAGTGAAATGCCAACTGACGGGTCCATCCCAACAATGCAGAGAGAAAAAAAAAATTATCGCAGAAAAAATAAGACGAGGAATAACTCCACAATGAGTAACGATAACTTGGCTATATACATGGGGTACCAGTACTGAGTCCATGTACAGGGGTACCAGGTCATTGAGGTAGTTATGTACATATAGGTAGGGATAAAGTTACTAGGCAACAGGATCGATAATAAACAGTAACAGCAGCGTATGTGATGAGTCAAAAGAGATTAGTGCAAAAAGGGTCAATGCAGATATTCCGGGTAGCTATTGGTTAACTATTTAACTAAATATTCTAGCTTGAGGGTAGAAGCTCTTCAGGGTCTTGTTGGTTCCAGACTTGGTGCATCGGTACCGCTTGCCATGCGGTAGCAGAGAGAACAGTATATGACTTGGGTGGCTGGAGTCTTTCACCGCCTGGTATAGAGGTCCTGGATGGCAGGGAGCTCGGTCCCGGTGATGTACAGGGCCGTACGCACTACCCTCTGTAGCGCCTTGTGGTCGGATGCCAAACGGTTGCCATACCAGGCGGTGATGCAACCAATCAGGATGCTCTCGATGGTGCAGCTGTTGGACTTTTTGAGGATCTGAGGGCCCATGCTGAATCTTTTTTAGCCTCCTGAGGGGAAAGAGGCGTTGTTGTGCCTTCTTCACAACGTGTTGTGTGTGGACCATGATAGATCCTTAGTGATGTGGACACCGAGGAACTTAAAGCTCTTGACCTGTTCCACAACAGCCCCGTCGATGTGGATGGGGGCATACTCGGCCCTCCATTTCCTGTAGTCCTCGATCAGCTCCTTTGTCTTGTTGAGGAAGAGGTTGTTATCCTGGCACCACACCTCCTCCCTGTAGGCTGTCTTATCATCGTCGGTGATCAGGCCTTCCACCGTCATGTCTGCAAACTTAATGATGGTGTTGGAGTCGTTCTTGGCCACGCAGTCGTGGGTGAACAGGGAGTACAGGAGGGGACTGAGCACGCACCCCTGAGGGGCCCCGTGTTGAGGATCAGCGCGGCAGATGTGTTGTTACCTACCCTTACCACCTGGGGGGGCGGCCCGTCAGGAAGTCCAGGATCCAGTTGCACAGGGAGGTATTTAACCCATCAGAGTCTAAGCCCTGTCTAAACCGGGGGGAGGGGGGGGGGGGTTCTACTAAGCTATATGGAATTGTTTTAAGAAGGTCATAACAAGGATCATTTAGCTATTTGATGTTGAATTTTAAGACCCCTTGAAGTATCAAATATATAAAAAAAATGATTTGATAAATAAATTCATTGAATAACAGATTCACTACATGGAACAACAAATATATCAAAAGGAAGTTTGTTCTGATGTCTATCCTACTGTATATCTGAGAGATCTAAGAAAAATCAGGAAACATATATATTCTTTTTTGACATGTATTTAACCCCATATTTTTGGCATTAAACTGTCTCCATATACACTTCAATAAAAAAATTGAACTGACCTTCAGATGAGTCTTGTGAGGCCTGTGGTCGTCCTAAAGCATATTAGTGTGTAGCCCCAAACTCTTCAGATGCTACAGACAGAAGTTGGCAGATGGGCTGTAACGACTTCAGACGAGACTCACGATTTTGTGGGAAGACTGATTTTTGGGATGTCTCATGGTCCGACAGACACCGCTGTAGCTCGGTCACCTTCCACTGCAGATGCGGAAGTGTTACATAGGCAGATGCGGTGGATTGAAACGCATCCAATGCAACAACAACAACATATCTCTAGTTTAAACTGACGGATTTAGATGGGGATTGTTTTATTATTCTAATTAGATTTTGGGGCGGGACACGGACACTAGGGGGTTAAATAACCATCACATTGCTGTTAAATTGGGAACATCCTGCTTTCTGCTATTCCCAGATATGAAAGCAACCAGGGAAACCTACAAGATCAGAACATTATTAACACCATTATCTCTGTGTGTCGCTCCTAACCCGTTCCCAGAGAGGCGGAGACAATAGTGTTACTGAAATGAACAGACAAATACAGGATACAGGCAGCCTGCAGAACATCATTAATGATGATGAGGAATAAATACAGGCAGCCTGCAGCACATCATTAATGATGAGGAATAAATACAGGCAGCCTGCAGCACATCATTAATGATGATGAGGAATAAATACAGGCAGCCTGCAGCACATCATTAATGATGAGGAATAAATACAGGCAGCCTGCAGCAGATCATTAATGATGAGGAATAAATACAGGCAGCCTGCAGCAGATCATTAATGATGAGGAATAAATACAGGCAGCCTGCAGCAGATCATTAATGATGATGAGGAATAAATACAGGCAGCCTGCAGAACACCCCCCCCACCCTTACCCCAGCTTAGACAGGGGCTTAGACTATTATAGGTTAACAGGAATGTGATGGTTAGTTGACAGGAATGTGATGGTTAGTTAACAGGAATGTGATGGTTAGTTGGCAGGAATGTGATGGTTAGTTGACAGGAATGTGATGGTTAGTTTACAGGAATGTGATGGTTATTTAGAGTGCTTCTGAAAGACCATGGGAGGAGTGCCAGGGAAACAAGATGACCTTTAGGGTTCTACACACACTGTGTTCCCAAGTTATGTCCCTGATTGAAGTGTGGATAATGTTTCAGCATCTTTTAACAGTTTCTGCTTTCTCTCTCTCTCTCTCTCTCTCTCAGTCTCTCTCTCTCTCTCTTTCTTCCAGGGCCAAGTACCACAAGTTAAGATATGGAACAGAGTTGAACCAAGGAGACATGAAACCTCCCAGCTATGACTCCGGTAGGACTAACGCAGACCCCTCTTTACCTATGGGAGTACTAGATCGTAGTGATTGCAGCATTCACATACCTGAATCCTGTCTTGTGTGTAGGCTTTTACACATGTTGAGTGTTGTTTTATCCAATAGTTTCATGATGTCTTTTCCTGAGAACTCTAATGTAATAACAACGCTCTGTATTCACATTTCCTCTGTTCCGTTTGTGTACCTGTTAAATCCAGTATAATTGGCCTCCATGTTAGATTTCCCTCCTGTCTTTAGGGATGTGTCCTCCTCATTATTCCTCATCTTAGCCTGCTCTGTTGATTGAAGGCACCAGCTCTCTGGAAGTGTTGATGAACCGGAGAGGTGTTGGGTTGCGTGTTGCATCCAGTGCCACACCTGCCCGCTGTTCATATGCCTAAATTAGACATCTCTCTCTCCTCTCCTTTCTCTCCTTAATTACCCAGTTTAAAGACTCTCTTCTCCTCCTCTCCTCTGTCAAATTACCCAGTTTAAAGACTTCTCCTCCTCCTCTCCTCTGTCAAATTACCCAGTTTAAAGACTCTTCTCCTCCTCTCCTCTGTCAAATTACCCAGTTTAAAGACTCTTCTCCTCCTCTCCTCTGTCAAATTACCCAGTTTAAAGACTCTTCTCCTCCTCTCCTCTGTCAAATTACCCAGTTTAAAGACTCTTCTCCTCCTCTCCTCTGTCAAATTACCCAGTTTAAAGACTCTTCTCCTCCTCTCCTCTGTCAAATTACCCAGTTTAAAGACTCTCTTCTCCTCCTCTCCTCTGTCAAATTACCCAGTTTAAAGACTCTCTTCTCCTCCTCTCCTCTGTCAAATTACTCAGTTTAAAGACTTCTCCTCCTCCTCTCCTCTGTCAAATTACCCAGTTTAAAGACTCTTCTCCTCCTCTCCTCTGTCAAATTACCCAGTTTAAAGACTCTTCTCCTCCTCTCCTCTGTCAAATTACCCAGTTTAAAGACTCTTCTCCTCCTCTCCTCTGTCAAATTACCCAGTTTAAAGACTCTTCTCCTCCTCCTCTCCTCTGTCAAATTACCCAGTTTAAAGACTCTTCTCCTCCTCTCCTCTGTCAAATTACCCAGTTTAAAGACTCTTCTCCTCCTCTCCTCTGTCAAATTACCCAGTTTAAAGACTCTTCTCCTCCTCCTCTCCTCTGTCAAATTACCCAGTTTAAAGACTCTTCTCCTCCTCTCCTCTGTCAAATTACCCAGTTTAAAGACTCTCCTCCTCCTCTCCTCTGTCAAATTACCCAGTTTAAAATACAGTCTCTCTCTTCTCCTCTCCCCTGCCTCTCCTTCAGCTCATTCTCACAACCCAGCCCCCTCATAGACTTCTCATCTGTATGCTAGTATTAAAACGTTTATTACGGTGACCGCGGTAATTTGACTGGCCAATTAGCATAATCCAAAATGACATGACCATCACAGCCCTACTTACTGCTGCTAACACCTTGGTTCTGCTGCTGCTGCTAACACCTTGGTTCTGCTGCTGCTGCTAACACCTTGGTTCTGCTGCTGCTAACACCTTGGTTCTGCTGCTAACACCTTGCTGCTGGTAACACCTTGCTGTTGCTAACACCTTGCTGTTGCTAACACCTTGGTTCTGCTGCTGCTGCTAACACCTTGGTTCTGCTGCTAACACCTTGGCTCTGCTGCTGCTGCTAACACCTTGGTTCTGCTGCTAACACCTTGGTTCTGCTGCTAACACCTTGGTTCTGCTGCTAACACCTTGGTTCTGCTGCTAACACCTTGGTTCTGCTGCTAACACCTTGGTTCTGCTGCTAACACCTTGGTTCTGCTGCTAACACCTTGGTTCTGTTGCTAACACCTTGGTTCTGCTCTCTTGAGTCTACTGATGGGTCTTAATGAGGGTACTCCTACATGGAGAAGTCTCTCTGGATTCTACTTGATTGTCAATAAACCATGACACAGCTGTAACGACCCACGATAAGGAGCCATAGAGGAAACACATCTCTAAGTAGAATAAGACCATGTTGTAGAGTGGTGCTGTGGTTAATGTGGTTAATGTGGTTAATGTGGTTAATGTGGTTTGGTTATTGTGGTTAATGTGGTTCATGTTTCTGTGGTTGTTGCTCAGCAAGTTTCTCTGTATCTCTGTCCCCAGATGAGGTGATTGAGAATGAGACTCCTGGGTCCTTGAACAACCAGCTGTCCTGGAAACAAGGCCGTCAGCTCCTCAGACAGTGAGTTACTATACCATACCCCTAACCCTAACCCTAACCCTGGAAACAAGGCAGTCAGCTCCCCAGACAGTGAGTTACTATACCATACCCCTAACCCTAACCCTGGAAACAAGGCAGTCAGCTCCCCAGACAGTGAGTTACTATACCATACCCCTAACCCTAACCCTGGAAACAAGGCAGTCAGCTCCCCAGACAGTGAGTTACTATACCCATACCCCTAACCCTAACCCTGGAAACAAGGCAGTCAGCTCCCCAGACAGTGAGTTACTATACCATACCCCCTAACCCTAACCCTGGAAACAAGGCAGTCAGCTCCCCAGACAGTGAGTTACTATACATACCCCTAACCCTAACCCATAACCCTGGAAACAAGGCAGTCAGCTCCCCAGACAGTGAGTTATATACCATACCCCCTAACCCCTAACCCTGGAAACAGGCAGTCAGCTCCCCAGACAGTGGTTACTATACCATACCCCTAACCTAACCCTAACCCTGGAAACAGGGCCAGTCAGCTCCCCCAGACAGTGAGTTACTATACCATACCTCCCTAACCCTAACCCTGGAAACAAGGCAGTCAGCTCCCAGACAGTGAGTTACTTACCATACCCCTAACCCTTAACCCTAACCCTGGAAACAAGGCAGTCAGCTCCC